CTATCTACCATGCCCCCACACACAGCCCTTGATAACCACTGTTCATTTTGTCTATGGATTTGCCCATTCTGGATGTTTCATATAAATAGAATCATACAGAGTGCTCCCTTGTAACTGGCTTTTTTCACCAACAATGTTTTCAAGGTTCACGCATGTTGTAGCATGGATCAGGGCTTCATTTCTTTTTGTTATGAAGTCATACTTCTTTGTATGGATATAACCATATTCTATTTATCTGTTGATCAGATGATGGATATTTGGGTTGTTTCACTTCTTGACTATTATGAATAATACTGCTATAAACATTAAGGTGCAAGGTTTTGTTTGGACTGTTTTCATTTATGGATCATATTTTAACTCTGTGTTTAACTTTTTGAGGAACTGCCAGACTTCTTCACAGTAGCTGCACCATTTTACATTCCCGCCAGGAGTAAATGAGGAATTCTCTACATTTTTGTGAATACTTGTTATTATCTTTATTTTTATTAAAGCCATCCCAGGGGATGTGAAATGATATCTCATTGTAGTTCTGGTTTTTATTTCTCTGAAGGCTAATGATTGTGAGCATCTTTTCATGGGCTTATTGACCATTTCTATATCTTTGGAGAGATGTATATTTGAATCCTTTGCCAATTTTTAAATTGAGTTGTCTTTTTGCTGTTTAGTTGTAATAGCTCTTTATATTTTTTGATACAAGTTCCTAATCAGATCTATGACTTGGGAAAATTATCTCAAATTTTGTGGATTATCATTTGTCCTTTGAAGTATCAAAGTTTCAAATGTTGATGAAGCCTATTGGCCAGGAATCTTATTATCTTACAAGATTGTCAGCAGGAACAATTCCAACTTGTTAATTTTCCATTTTGAAAGTACTCTTAAGGGACTTCCGGCCAAGATGGAGGCGTATGTAGATACACCTTGCCTCCTTGCCAACCAAAAGAAGGACAACAACAAATTTAAAAAACAAAAAATAACCAGAAATGCCAGAAAATCAAACTGTGTCAAAGTCCGACAACCCAGCAGAAGGGGTAAAGACAGGCAGCTGGGTGGAGAGGATGTGTGGCAAGGTGGTGGCTGGTGGACCAGGCAGTCCCACATTTGCATGTGGATACACCATGAGGAACAGCGGGGGAGCGAGAAAGACCGCGCAATCCAGGGTTCCAGTGCAGGAAAAGAAAGCCTCAAAACCCCTGGAGGTAAAAACCTGTGGGCGTTGTGGTGGCAGGAGAAACTCCCAGTCTCACAGGAGAGTTTCTTGGAGAGACCCATGGGGTCCTAGACCGTACACAAACCCACCCTCTCAGGAATCAGCACTGTCAGGGCCTGATTTGCTTGTGGGTAGCAGGGAAAGAGACTGAAAGCCAGCTGAGAGCTAAGCAAATGGCATTGTTCCCTTTCAGATTCCTCCCCCACACACAGTGCCACAATGCAGCGACCTGGGTTGCCCTGCTCTGGTGCATACATAAGGCTTTGCCCCTACAACATAACAGGTGCACTAAGACAAAAAAAAATATGGCCTCAATGAAAGAACAGATAAAAGGTCCAAAAATAGAACTAAGCGATGAACAGACACCCAATCTCTTAGATGCAAAGTTAAATCCCTGGTAATTGGATGCTTACTGAATTGGTTGAGTATGGTCGCAAAATGGAGGGAAAAGTCAAGGCTACACAAAGTGAAATAAAGAAGAATATATAGGGAACCAACAGTAAAGGGAAGGAAACTGGGACTCAGATCAATGATTTGGAGCAGAAGGAAGAGATAAACATTCAACCACAACAGAAGGAAGAAACAAGAATTCAAAAAAATGAGGAGAGACTTAGGAACCTCTGGAACAACTTTAAATGTCCCAATAACTGAAACATACAGATGCCAGAAGAGAAGAGGAAGAGCAAAAAAATGAAAACTTATTTGAAAAAATAATGAAGGAGAACTTCCCCAATCTGGCCAAGGAAATAGACTTCCAGGAAGTCCAGGAAGCTCAGGGAGTCAGAAAGAAGTTGGATCCAAGGAATCACACACCAAGGCACCTCATAATTAAATTACACCAAGATTAAAGATAAGGAGGGAATCCTAAAAGCAGCAAGAGAAAAGGAGACAGTTCCCTACAAAGAATCCTGTCAGCTTATTTCTCAAAGGAAACCTTGCAGGCAAGAAGGGACTGGCAAGAAGTATTCAAAATCATGAAGGGCAAGGACCTACATCTGAGATTACTCTATCCAGCCAAACTATCATTTAGAATGGAGGGGCAGATAAAGTACTTCCCAGATAAGATCAAGTTAAAGGAGTTCATCATCAACAAGACCTTATATGAAATGTTAGAGGGACTGATCTAAGAAAAAGAAGACAATCAAAAACTACGAACAGTAAAATGGCAACAAACTCACAACTATTAACCACTGAACCTAAAAAAACAAAAACAAACTAAACAAACAACTAGAACAGAAACAGAACCATAGAAATAGAGATCAGAGGGGAGGGGGAGAGGAGAAAATGGGGGAAAAGGTACAGGGAATAAGAAGCATAATTGGTAGGTATAAAATAGACAGGTGGGTTAAGAATAGTACAGGAAATGGAGAAGCCAAAGAACTTATATGTATGACCTATGGACATGAACTAAGGGCGGGGGGGAGGAATCTAGGGGGAGGGGCAATGCAGGGAGGAGGGGAATAAAGGGGACAACTCTAATAGCATAATCAATTGTGTGTGTGTGTATATATATATATATATATATATATATATACACACACATACACATATACGTGTATGTGTGTATATACAATTTTTAAAAAGAACCAAAAAAAGTCCTGTTTATCACTTGAAGAAAATTGGGCTAGATGCCTGTTAATTTATAAAGATCTTATAAGAATTACAGTTGAAAAAGCACAATATTAAAAATAAGCACACACCTAAATTGAGGGATAAGCTAAGTGGCTATGTATGTGAGAAAAGGTAGCAGGGCAGGATAACACCCAGATCATAACCCCTGTACTTAGGAACTTGACACCTTCTATATAAATGAATTGCCAGAAAATGCAAGTTAAGCAACTTATCCTTCTCTCTTCTATCTAGACCAGAAAAGAGCTCATAATGAAGGTAGAGTAGGGAAAAGGATAAAGTTCCCTACCATGTCATGCACTTCAGGCTTCCACACTTATGTGCATGCTCCCTGCATCCTTCCAGTGCTCTCCAGGGTTAGAGCAAAGAACTCCCCCTCCATGAGGCCCCCTCCAGATGTCCCAAGGGGAATTATGCCATGTCCCCTCTGTGGCCCCCAAGCATCAGCTCATCCTGTGTGGAGGATCTCATTTCTTGCTGCTGCGTGGGTTCGAACTACAGATCTTGGGTCAGTCTGCCTTTGCTCCTCATGTGCTGTGTGGCCTTGGCCACTCTGGGCCTTTGTCTGGGACTGGGGCAATTTAGGGCAGAACTGGCCTCCCCGCAGGAGCTGCCAGCACTGATGCCACAGGGTCTGGACCTGGCAACTGTTCAACTGGCACTTGCCAGAAACATCTCCCTGGCTCATGAAGAAATCCTGAAAGAAACCCCCAAAAAATGCTGCCTTGGTTTAAATCCAATGGGTCCCTATAAAACAATACTTTGTCACCAGGATGAAACAACCAAGTTGATCTGTGACCTGGGCGGGTCTGGGGGAGGGGGCTTCGAACAGGGAAGGAGTGATCTGGAGCAGTGGCTGGGAGGAGTGCCTGGAGAAGCGAGGGCAGAGAACCCCCCTGAAGTGGGCGTGCTTGCGATCTGCCTCGGGGCCCCCTGATCCTCAGCAGAGCCAAGTCCTGCTCGCCCTCACACGCCCATGTCTGGGCTCATCCTCCTCTAGGTGCCCAGCCACCCCACAGGGAGACTAGTCCTGTTTTCCCCAGATGTTTGTGGCAGGGAGAGGGGCCGGTTGTGGAAACGGCGGTCCCAGACCAGACTGCCCTGCTTTCTGGGATGATCATGGGGCTGTCCAAGACCGCCCTGTCCCCCAAACGGTTACATGACTCCTCAGCCAGCCCGGGGCCAATCTGCGCCAGGAGGAAGGCGCCGCAGTGGTCTGCCCTCCACCACCATCACATGGCGGGGGGTACTGAGGCCCAGAGGAGAACTGCGAATAGGTGGTGGCCACCTAGTGGAACTCAGTTCACTGCTTCTAACATTGTCTGCCAGACAGAAGGGGCCCTGGATACTTGTTCTGGGCTCTAGTTTCCCCTCAAGGCCAAAGGTCATTGGGTGGGCAAGGGATTATGCCACATTCCCTTGGGGAATTAGCTATCAACAAGCTGTAGGAATGCATCCCACTGCAAACTAGATCACAGAATATGTGGGGTGAGATCTTTGTCCCTGACTCATGCCCATGCCACCTATTTTCTGACTCAGGATAGCATCACTTTTGCATTCATGCCCTAGTCTTTGTCACCTGAGGGATCATGAGGGCTCCAAAGAATACACCACTTACCTCCCCATTCTTGAAAGTTTGCCTTTATTTACATGCCGATGTTCACCACAGCTGCTCCATTAGCAGGGAGTACTAGGAAGGGTTAGGATGAGACAAACCCTGTATCACCCAGACAACAATGAGCTCCAGCTCCAAGATGACATCAACTATTTTTCCCTTGCCCGTACACTGGAATTGCATCCTTTATAAAAAGGCTAGACCAGAACATTATCCGGCAGTCTTAATGGCTCTTCTGTACTCCTCTCCTGATCAATGCTTACTATCACTAAACTAGCGCAGAAAGGAAGCAGAAGGTGGCAAGATGCTGCTAATTCTTCTTTGAGGACAGCCCAAAGGAGGAGGATGTGATAGAAAATATCATAAGAGACGATTCTTGGGAGGATTCAATAGTGGAGGTCCTTTTGGGTTGTGTTTCAGAATGAGATACCTCTATGAAGGAAATTGTTAGTTCATTCACCTTCAAGGCAAGCAATGCCATTTGGAGGATGGCCTTCCTGGTGGCCTCCCAGGTGGGTATTTGGATGGAATCATAGTCCTTAAAGAGTATCAGTTGTCTAGTGTCATCCTTGCAGGCAGCAGTGGTTTGGTGGTTTTCTTGACTGGCTCTGGTTTGTTGCCTTTCTTCCTGGGGACTGCTGAAAACTGGTGAGAGCCAAGGTAGGTCTTATGCTATTGGTTATAGCTGGGTAGAGGGGTTTTAGAGTTCAGGGTATTTCTGCAACTCGGGAGGTGGGGATGGCTCTACAGAGACATTTAAAGCTTCTCTTTTATTTTCTTTTCTTTTTTCGAGGCTCATACTCTCAGTATCTGTGGGATAGAAAAGACAAAAACACAGATGCCTCATGTGTCACTTCTTCAGTGTTTGCTGGTCATGTGGTGAGATCCTACTCATCTTTAAAATGTCAGTCCTTTACCTGCCATCTCAGGTTCTTCTCCCTAGTTCTTGCCCTAACTTGGCTTTGTGCTGATTTTATCATAGTCCACTAGTTCAGCATGGTACTGAGGTTTAAGAGTCTATTGTGTGAGGTTATAGCTCCCCATGAACATCCCCAGAAGACAGAAGCTGACATTTTCTTAAAGTGTATACGTTTCACAACCACTGCTTCCAAATCAGTTTGAATAGAAAAAGGAATAATCCTCTATCAGAATGTGAACTTTTTAAGTTCAAAGACTTTGTCTTGCTTGTCACTATGTACACAGTGTCCAGAAGTGTCTGTTATGCAATAATTTTTTATCTAACTGACTGACAGAAAATATAGATGGTGGAGACATCTTCTAGTAATGGAGCTTGAAAATGGACTCTTACCAAAGGCAAATTAAAAACTGGAGGAAACCAAGAAAACATCTTAAATTACGTAACAATTTACAATAAGGGGAGAAAGTGTGGGGCCAAAAGCTAAAAGAGAGAATCCAAAGAGGTAAGCCCAGAACTCAGTTATTTTTGTGAAGGTAACTGAATCTTTTTTAAGTTACATTTTATTGATTATCCTATCACAGTTGTCCCAATGTTTCCCCCTTGGCTCCACTCCACCCAGCACCCCCAACTCCCTCAGGCAGTCCCCACACCACTGTACATGTCCATGGGTCATGCATATAAGCTCTTGGGCCACTTCATTCCTTACACTGTACATTCCCATGGCTATTCAGTAACTACCGGTTTGTACTTCTTAATCCCCTCACCTCTTCACCCATTCCCCCCATACCCTACCCATCTGGCAATCATCCAAACACTCTCCATATCCATGATTCTGTCTCTGTTCTTCTTGTTGCTTAGTTTGTTTTTAGATTCAACTGTTGATAAATATGTATTTATTGCCACTTTATTGTTCATAGTTTTGATCTTTTTATTTTTAAAAAAATTAGGAGAGGCTTAGGAATCTCTGGGACAACTTTAAACATTCCAATATCCAAATCATGGGGGTGCCAGAAGGAGCAGCGGAAGAGCAAGAAATTGAAAACTTAATTTAAAAAGATAATAAAGGAGAACTTCTCCAATCTGGTGGAGGAAATAGACTTCCAGGAAGTCCAGGACGCTCAGGGACTCCCAAAGAAGTTGAACCTAAGGAAACATACACCAAGACACATCATAATTAAATTATCCAAGATTAAAGATAAGGAGAGAATCTTAAAAGCAGCAAGAGGAAAAGAGAGAGTTACCTACAAAGGAGTTCCCATAAGACTATCAGCTGATTTCTCAAAAGAAACTTCATAGGCAAAAAGAGGCTGGAAAGAAGTATTCATAGTCATGAAAGGCAAGGACCTACATCCAAGATAACGCTATCCAGCAAAGCTATCATTTAGAATGGAAGGGCAGATAAAGTGCTTCCCAGATAAGGTCAAGTTAAAGGAGTTCATCATCACCAAGCCCTTATTATAGGAAATGTTAAAGGGACTTATCTAAGAAAAAGAAGATAAAAAACTATGAACAGTACAATAACAACAAACTCACAACTATCAACAACTGAACCTAAAAAAAAAAAAAAACAGACTAAGCAAACAACTAGAACAGGAACAGAATCACAGAAATGGAGATCAGATGGGAGGGTAAGAGGGGAGAGTGGGGGAGAGGGTACAGGGAATAAACAGCATATATAGTAGGTACAAAATAGACAGGAGGAGGTTAAGAATAGTATAGGAAATGGAGAAGCCAAAGAAATTATATGTATGATCCATGGACATGAACTTGGGGGTTGGGGGGGAATGCTGGTGGGGGGTGGTGCATGGCAGAGTGGAATAAAGGGGAGAAAAAATTGAGACAACTGTAATAGCATAATCAATAAAATATACAGATATAATAAAAAATTAAAAAATATTTTTTTAAAGTTTCTCATTATTCATTGCTAATATAAAAACACACAATTGATTTCTGTATCCTGAGACATTGCTTAACTAATGTTTTAGTTTCAGTAGGTTTGTTGTTGTTTGATTCCTTATAATTTTTTAAATGTAAATAATTGTACCTGCAAATCAGGAGTTTTGTTTCTTCCTTTATGCCTGTCATTTATCTTATTAAAATGGCTAGGATCTCCAGCACAATGCTGAATAGAAGTTGTGAGAGCAGATTATCTTTGTGTTATTTCTGATCTTATAGGGAAAATATTCATTGCTTCATCATTAAAAATGATATTGGCTTTTTAGTAAATATATTTGTAAATGTCTTTGATCTGATTGAGGAAGTTTCATCCTTATTCCTAGTTCACCCAGAGCTTTTTTCATAAATTGGTGCTAAATTTTGTCAAATGTGCTTTTTCTACTTTATTTTGTGAATATAGTGAATTATACTGAGTAATTCTGAAATGATATCTTCATCTTGCATTACTGAGATAAACCTCACTTGCTCATGATGTATTATCCTGTTTAAAGTGATGGATTCAATTTGCTAATATTTTGTTAAGGATTTTTAAGTCTAAGTTCTAAATGATAGTGATGTGTAAATTTAGTTCTCCTAATGTCTTTGTCAGGTTTTAATTGAGGGTATTGCTGCAGCTGGGAAGTCTTCTTCCTTTTTTCTGAGTTTGCATAAGATTAGTATTATCTCATACATTTAGCGAGTGAAACTCTTTGGGCAATGGGCTTTTCTCGTGGTAAGGTTTTTGATATACAAATTGATTGTGATAGTGGGTTATTAAAATTTTCTATTTCCTCTCACAGTTCTGGCAAGTCATGTATTTCAAGGAATTTGTCTAATTCATTTAATTTGTCAAATTTAATGACATAAAAATGTTCATAATTTTTCTTTATTGGCAACATCTCTTCCCACCTCTCTACCTACCCTCTCTCTCATCTTGCTAAGAGTGTATCAATTTTATTTTTTTCAAAGAAACAACTTTTGATTTTTTTGTTTTCTCTATTGTTTGTATCCTTTCTATTTGTACCATTGATTCCTGATATCTTTAGTATTTCCCTCCTTTTCCTTGAGAAAAATTTAGTCTTCTATTTCTAGATTCTTAAGGTAGAAACTTAATCAATATTAAACCTTTCTTCCTTTTAACATTTAAAGTTATATATTTCCCTCTAAGTCTTGTGTTAGCTGGTACCCCACAAATTTTACTGTTGTAAATGCATTATCCTTTAGTTTAAAATATTTTCTAATTTCCATTGTGATTTATTCCTTGATCAATAGGATGTTTAGAAATACATTCACTTCCAGCATTTAGAGACTTGGCTACATATTTTAATGTTTATTTCTTATTCAATTTTGTCGTGGTCACAGAACATACTCTGTAAGATTTCAGTCATTTGAAATTTATTTATTGAGACTATTTTATGGTTTTTGATGTGGTCTGTTTTTGCAAATGTGCCAGGCCATATACATTTGAAAATATTGCATATTCTATAGTTGTTGGGTATACTGTTTTATGGTATTTAGGTCAAGGTAAATGAAAATGTTTTTCAGACATCTACATCCTTTCTGATTATTTTTTCTGTGTTCAGTTGCTCTTTCAGGTACTGAGAGAGAAATGTTAAAATCTCTGGCTGTAAATCTCTTTCATTCAGTGTTGCTTCATGGGTTTTGAAATTATATTATTAAATGCTTACACAGTTATAATTATCAATACCTTCCTGATGTAGTGACCTTTTCATCATTATTAAATCTTTAGTTTACAGTAATACTCAATGTTTTCAAGTGTGTTTTTTCAGATACAGTCGTACCTTGGTACCTGTCGGCCTCAGAACTTGTCAAACTGTGTACTCATCACATTTTGACAAGAAAAGAATGTTTCAGCACTTGGTGCTTGCTCACTGGGCACTCGTTGCACTTGCTGGAATTTGTATGAGTCACAATGCTGCCCCACAAGAGAAAATGCTTTATCACTTATCACTTGAAAAATGTGTTCGGTGTTCATAGGTTTTGGCACTCATCATGAGTTCCCAAACGAATTAACAAGTACCAAGATACCACTGTACTTCATATGCTGTAGTGGTTGTGGTGCAAGATGTACTCAGTGTTGGTGGCTCTATTCTCTTCAACCTGAATGGAGCTGGACTCAGGTTCTGGCTTCTGTCCAGTCTTCCTTGTTCCTTCCCTGATTCCAAACTTAGTCCTGAACCTTCTAAGTGTTTCCTAGAGGTCTCAAACTGCCTTCCGATGCATTTTCTTTTTGCTTAGATCAGGCAAAACTGGTTTCTGTAATAGCAAACTAAAAACTTAAAAACAGGAAAACTGTTACATTTATTTTCTATTCTTGTTATTTCCTTATCATCATTTCAACATGCAGAGGAGTAGAGGTCAAATTAACTTTTTCTAAGTTAATTTTCTAATCCTTCATTCAATGTGAACACATCTTCAAATTTTCCTTCAAAACTTCTCTCCTGTTCACATTTTCCTTACCACTTCCATGTTCTTTTTATTTCATGGCTGGATTACTTCTAAGGGATGAGTTGTGTGCCCCTAAATTCACATGTCAAAGCCTTAAGCCCAGCCTCAAAATCTAAACTATATTTGGAGGTGGAGCCTATAAAGATTTGATTTACATAAGGCCATTAGGGTGGACCCCAATCCAGTCTGACTGGAGAAGAGACAATTTGGAGCCAGCCAGAGACACTGAAGATGCACGTGCACACGGAGGAAAGGCTGCCTGAGGACGCGGCACGGAGGAGGCCCTCGGCAAGCCAAGGACAGAGGGCGCAGAAGAACCGAACCTGCTGACACACCCATCTTGCATTTCTAGCCTCCATGAACAGGAGATAAGTAAATTTCTGTTGTTTAACCTGTCCAGTCTGTGACATTTTGTTATGGCAGCCTCAGTTTAATCATGTAACTGCTGAAAATAATAAGGAACCTGGAATACAGCCTTCAGACCTCTCACCAGCCAGGAGAGCGAGCTTCAGATCCATGTACCTCAGCGCTACTTGAGAACGCTCCGCCCCTCAAGAGTGTTGGGCAATCTTGGTTTGAACTTTCAGTGTCACAGCATGAAACACCATTGCCTTCCATTATTCCAATTTCTGCACTTATTTTTTCAGAGCCCCCGTGGATCCATTCCTGCCTCTAAGTGTCGTACCATTCAATCACCTGCCACCGTCAGGAGGGCCACCGCCGTCCACAGAGATTACATTAATTCATGAATTTGGGACTTCGCCTGAGGCTCCAGCAGCTGGGTAAGGAAACCGTCCCGTGCACTGCACGCTCCCCTGCTTCCTAACTGGGTTTCCCTTTGCCACTGCACTGGCTTCCCATAACTCACTGTGCGGTTACCTCCTTTTGAAAATTAAAGCTAGCTTCCCTCCCCCTAACTGGCCTATCTCACTTCCTCAGCCCCTGGGTTCTCCTGCTGAATAAGACATTATTTTGGTTTCCATCCTCCTACACAGACAATCTAGCATATTGCTCCTTTATTTGAAACTCATTTGCCACCTCCCGACGGCTTATACGCAGAGCCTAGACCCTAGTCCAGCATTTCAGGGCCTCTGCAGTGTTCTCCCCACCCTCCAACACTCGTTACCCACAGCTGAAGTCCCTCCCACAAAGCACACTCAGCCCTAAGGGCCATGGAAGCCTCTGTCCTGGGCCTGGTGCTCGACCCAGGGTGCGAATTGCTAGACTCTTGTCTGCTTCCTCACTGTTCTCTGTGGGCCACCCTCCATTCTTCAATTATCTTCATTCCCTTTCAGGAGACCTGGCACAAATCGGTTACTCAAGAACTGTGATGAATGAATAGTTGAAGAAATTAAAAATAAATACCATGTCCACAAACTTCCAAGGAGTCTCACTGTTTAGAGACTGAGTCCAAAATGAAGCTTGATGTCAAGGGCACTCCAGAACCCATGCCCAGCCATTCCTCCCAACTTCTTCCTAGTCCCCACCCCTCCATTTCCCAGACTCCCTCAGCTCTTGTCAGAGACACAGAAAGCAGACCCTCTGTCCTAGGGACAATGGGTAGCACTGGGTTAGGTCTCTGTCTTTACCTGTGAAACTGCTAATGCTTTCGAAGACTCTCTCTTTTTGGCTTTCTCTCCACCTGGAAGGAAGCAGACCACCCATGAGCGTTGGAGACCTTTTCCAAAAATAACAATAAACCAACGCAGAAGAGAAACACTACCCATCAAATTCTCACTTAGGAATTTGTACTTTCCTCCTCTAAAGGATAACTCACAAATGAAGGCATGACGGGCATGAGGAGGTCCACAAAACCACGGTCTCCTCTAGCTAAGATTCCTCTTCCAGGATATACAATCTTGCAGTGCTGTAGCACTGTCCTGTCAAGGATTCGCAAACGTCATTTTCTTGGACAGATAAACACTGTTCTCTGCAAAGGGGCCGTGATTTTCCCAGGGTCACCAACAGCCAAGGGGCAAATCCAGGCCTAAAAGCCAGGCTTCCAGGTTTGCGGACTTGCTCTTTGCACAGCGTCCCGTTACGTTCCGGACAGTCTTCAACCTCTGTCCTTTCTCAGCAGAATCACATTGAATCTGTGGTAACAGGCTTTACCTGAGCCTTAGTGACAGCCCTCATCCGTAAAATACTGCCTTGTGCTGAGGAGGTGGAAGGGGTGTGAGGAGCTGCAGGCAGTATGAGAAGAAATGAAGGGCTCAGACTAGTAACCCTGTCTTCCTGAGAACTTGCCATGGGGAATATGTAGGGTGTTCGGTGACACGGGGTGTGAAAAAATTCACAAAGAGAAGAAAGTATAGTGGGCAAAGTTTTTATTCACTCTCCAAGAAAGGAGAGGGGCATGGTGTGGAGAGACACACCACACTGAGGGGTCGGGACTTTGAGCTTTTATTGTATTTTAATTGGATTGAAAAAGGACGGGGGATTGCTACTGTGAGGCCTCTGGGCTGTTTGGGGGTATCCTAACAGGAGGCTTCAGTTTGTTTCAATGTTATCTCTTGCCTTTGGTTTGTAGGGAGCAGTTAGTTCTTCCATTCCAGTAATTTCCAGTCCTGGGGACACAAGCTCAGAAGAGTAAAATGACAGTCATATTTAATAAGGTCATAGGCCTGCTCAGCAAATGGTGCCACAATATCAAATGGCGCTATCTTTGTCCTTTCAGGATGGATTACAGGAAGAGTATTTAACTATTTTTCATCTTTCCATAAGAAACATTTAGATTTTTATTTTTATTTTAGGTTTCTTTTTATCCTTACCCAAGGACATGCTTATTGATTTTAGGAAGAGAGGAGGGGAGAGAAAGAGAGGAGGAGAGAAATACTGATGTGAGAGAGAAACATCTTCAGTTGCCTTTCATGTGTGCCCCAATCAGGACCAAACCTGCAACCTAGGCATGTGCCCTGACCAGGAAACAAACCCACACTTTCAGTTTGCAGGACAATGCCCAACCAATGGAGCCACTCGGGCTAGGGCTATACTTTTATTTATTTATTTTTTTACTTAAAATTGTAAATAAAAAACAGTACGGAGATTCCTCAAAATAGATATACCATAGAACCCAGGAATTCCATTTCTAGGTGTTTATCCAAAGAAAATGAAAACACTGATTTTAAAAAATATATGCACTCCTATTTTCATTGTAGCATTATTTACAATAGCCAAGATATGGAAGCCACCTAGGTGGATGGACATAGAGGGTATTTTGCTAAGAGAAATAAGCCAGGCAGAGAAAGACAATTACCATATGGTTTCACTTATATTTGGAATCTAAAAACAAACAAATAAAACAAAGAAAGATGAACAGAACCAGAGAACAATGAGATAGTTATCAGAAAGGAGGCCTGGGGGGATGGGTGAAAAGGGGAAGGGTAATAGAGTCAATAAAACTATGATAAATTTTCACAGTGACAGATGATTACTAGAAATAGTAGGGTGATCATGTTTTAAGGTACAAAAATGTCAAATCACTATATTGTACACCTGAAACTAATATAAATAATACAAGATTGTATACCAAGTATACTTAATTTAAAAAATAAATTTAAAAAATTACAAACATATACTTACCAATGAAAATAAAATATGGCAGCAATAAAAACTGCAGAAAAAATATCCATGAGAAACCACATGAACATATAGTAACTTGGTGTCTAAAAAAGAGGGAAAAAAAATCACAGTAAAAAACTTTCCAGCTGGAAGGGATTTTCGATCACGTGGGCCAAGTCCCTTGCTCGGCTGTCAGGCCTGGGCCCGAGTGGAGGGGCGGCAGACCCGGTGGGGAAGCTGGTTAGAAGTGCCGGCCTCAGACACAGAGAATACCTGCTGCTGTCCCCTTCCACATGTGGGGGCTCTACAGGGGATAGAAGTTCACACCCTTCATTTCCCTTGACCCTCAACACAGAGGCCTGGGCGAGTCCCAGCGGAGTCACATCGCAAGTCTGCTCTGAACCCAGGACTACAGCCCAAGTCGCTTGAGTTCCTGTGCTCTGTGTTTTCATGGCCTGGCTCCCCAAACCCGGTTGTGCACCCAACTCTGCCAGGGCAGCTTTTAGTAATACAGGTTCCTGGGTCTCCCTGCAGACCGCAGGATTTAGAATTCCTCCACTTTCAACAAGCTCCTCAGGTGACACTGAAGCAACCAGTCTGTGAGCCAGTGCAGGGTAAGTGGAGGCAGTCTGGCTTCTCAGCCAGGTGCTCGTGTAACTTGGGGGAGCAGCTTCTCCAAACCTTGAGGGAGTCTGATAAAGCAGTGTTCCCACAGCCTTGAGCCTGGGTGTGACAAACTGCCCCTTGGCCTCGAGTGGGCTCGCATGCGCAGCTCATGCTAGGTTACCTCACTTTTTGGCCTGAGGCTGGCTCTGTTTGTGCTAGTCCTTAAGGAGGTGGGGGCCTCTTACTGTGAGGGAGTGAGGAAGAGCGGGCGTGCGGGCGTGAGGGGCGTGCAGACATAGACATGGGCTTGTGGCCTGTGTGACTCCCCCAAATAAAGGCATGTCAAGCATCCCCACGGCTCCACGCATTTTCTTCCTTCTACCTGAGTCACGAGTGGACCTGCCCAGCCTAGGGAGGCTGCAACACAGCCAATATTTAGAAATCACTGTTCTACATCATGCTTCTTCAAGTAAGCAGGTTGAAATTATAATTCTCCCTTAACATGGCCCCTCCCCCACACTCCTTGCCTGAGTCGCCCACTTCCCAGAACTCCGTCTCCTGGGCCTCCTGTGTGAGTTTTCTAATTCCCTGCTTTGACTCTCCCTTTCCTCCTCCACTGTCCCCTCTGATCTTACTTGATGGTGCTGGGGCCGGCACTTTTTATTCTTCCTTAGGCCATTCTGCCCCCATCCCAATATTATTATTATTGGGCTGAATAATAATATTAACAAAAATACTAGTGATCATGATAATAATATCTGACAATGAGCACTTACAGAACCTAAGGAAGTATTCTAAGTATTTTTAGGTTATTTTCACATCTTATCCTCACAACAGTCCTACTAGGCTGGTACAGTAGAAGCTCTTAACCAATTTAAGCTACTAGGTTGGTACAGTAGAAGCTATTCTTTAGTGGAAGCTCCAACTTCCACTAAACTGAGGCTCCTAATCCCCTCTGAGAAGCATACTGACTGTGGCTTGGCCTGCTCCACAATGCGCACCAGGTGAACATCACCAAGCAACACCAAGAATAATTTGTTCTTGCTCCTAAATGGCTTAGAAACAGGTGTATTTATTGTTATGGTTGTGCAATGTCATTAAATGTTACTTCAATTTGAGTGAAATAAAGGTATGTCATTTTCAACAAAACTAAGTGACATGAAAGACTCAATGAAGATAGAGTACGTCATTAGAAAACAAACTGCATTTGAATTAGGTGTGAGTAGAACACTATAAGAGATAAGGCAGGAAGATTATAAAAACTTGGGTGCAGTCCTCATTTGGATTGTTTCTCCCTATGACTATATTCTTGGTCTCCTTTAATGAAATGAAACTTAGAAATCATAGCTGGTTCATCTGGATATGTAAATAAACAAGAGAATACAGAATCCAATCAGCTAAATTATCCTCAAAAACTCTGACTCTCTGTCAAAAGGTGAATGAATATTGTAAATTAAAACCAAAATATATAAGGTATGTGTGTGGTAGATTTTAAAATGACCACAATATTCCTCCCAAAATGCAAGCCTGTGTACAATGTGACTTTGCCCTTCCTCCTCCTCAAGAGGTAAAATATGTTTCTCTCCTGTCCCACCTTGAATCTGGACTTGGATATGTGATTTTCTTTGGCCAATGGAACATTAGCAAACAACACACTGGAATAACCTTGAAAAGTACGTGTGCAGTGGGGCTTGACCTCTCTTGCTGTTGTGAAACCACAGCCACCAGGTGAACATGCTCAAGCTAGTGTCTTTGAGGATGACTGACCCCATGAAGAGACACCCAGTCATCTCAGGGAAAACTCTAGGCCTATGAACAAGGCCATCCTAGATCATACAGCCCAGCCAAGCTGGTTCAGACCAGAGGAACCACACAATCCATCATACAAAATATAACAAACATTTGTTTGTTTTTAAGCCACTAAGTTTTAGGTGGGTTTTCTTTTTCTTTAAGAAGGAAAAGCTGATAGACTATATATCTTTTTTTATTATTCCCCACTTTAACTTTTTCAGTTAACAGACCAATGATCAGACAAGACTGTGTTGGATAAAAGTGCTTCCGTGTACTATTATTGTTTGGGGCTTACAAATAAACAAACTGTGGCACCACAGGGTAACCAACAATTTCAAGTTCACACAATGAGTGGTAAAGCCAAGACTTGAGTTTGCATATTCTAACGCCAGAATGTGGGCTGCCTGGGAAAGCACTGGAGGCACTGGCCCCACCTTCCTGAACAAAGTGACATAGGGCCTTTAAAAACAGCTCCGGCCAGGTGTAGAAGAAAGTTTTGTGTTTTGTTTTGTTTTTTAACTTACACTCTCCTTTTTTTCTTTTTGAATTTGGAATCACATGAATTTATTATCAATTCAAGTATTAAAATAAAGTATTACTTAACAAACTTTTATTTAATGTATCCAAAGGGACAACTGATGGGGGACTCAAATGTTGGAAAAATTTTAGTTTCAGGTAATAGTTAATAAGCTTAGTAATCAATGCACATAAAAAGCTATTGTTTCAGGAACTGAAGGCATGACCCACCTTGACTCCAGGAAACCATAAGCAGTTCCACATTTGTGCCTCAGGGGGACTGCAAGACATTAAGATGGCATCTGAGCCATTGTGCTCCAGGGAGAGATGCCCACCTCCCAGGACACAGGTAAAGACCAGCACCCAGGGCACAGATGAAGGACAAGCACCCAGGGCATGGATGAAAGGATGCTGCAGTTTTATCTGATTAACTCTTCCTTTAAATTCCAACCCCCCTACCTACACTTCTCTTCTCTTTATAAAAAAAGGATCAGTTTAAAATGGAATAAGACAGTCTGTTAGGGTACAAACCCACTATCTTCTCAGATCGCTGAACATCTGAGTGAAGAGCCCATGAAGACTGAATCGTTGTCTCTGCTTATTAGGACAGGCAGCAGGAATGATGGCTTTCCCGTTTTCACAACTTTGAGATAAAACTAATTTAGGGGGATAGGATTATGGAGGAGTGTGTTGCTTTCTGATTTATGCATTTCTGTAATGATTGATAAAACAAACAAGTTTTCTTTGTAATTAATTTCAAAAACAATGATGTTAGAAAAATATGTAGTACACACATGAATGGGAATTATATAAGGATGGACAGGTAAGGAGGTTTCACCTTTGGCAAGGGACCTGCTATCTATGGTTTCTTTCGGGGCCAGCTCCAGAAAGCTGTTCAAGCCGTGGGAAGCAGTCGGCTACTTTACAATGCCACCAGAGGGCCTCGATGCTCTCCTGGCCCTGTGAGATTGTGCCCTCGACCCTGATTCCCTTTCTCCTGGCCCTGAACAGATCAGAAAAGGAGGCTAGTCAGACTGGAGCATGGAGAAGATGACCTGAAACATTTAGGCTTCTCATTTAGGCTTCTCTGCCGAAAGCTTTAACTTTCAAGGCAGTTGGGAGTTAGGCAGTGGATATATCTGATTCTAAACTGAGGCTTTTCGGTGTACCGAAGTGAACCTTTAAAAATTACCTAAGGGTGACTAGAAAAGCTATGTGACCTGAGTAAGATTTCATTTAGGGGAATAGAAAGGCCTAACTCACAGAACAGTTTAAAGTGTCAATGGGAAAAAAATTAAAGTTTTCTGGTGTAGCTGTTGTGCTCCACTCAGCAGTCTACTATATACCCAAGTAAGAAAAACAGTCTCTGCAGCAGTTAACTGGTTAGCCGGGGCTCCCTCTTAGTGAGGAGATGTAGCTAGGGTTTTTAACCCAGGCCTTCAGGTCCCTAAGCCTCTAGCAAAGAGCAGTAGCAGGACCAGAATGGGAAATTGAGCTACGGTACTGGACAATGGCTCTCTTAAAAAAAAAAAACAAAACATTTTGTTCAGGACACACATTTTCACTTTCGAGTCAAATACACTTGTTTTTCTCCCCAAACACCATGCCACTGTCATTGCTGCCATGCCTCTAGAAAGATGGGGGCTGCAGCAACAATACTCTAGACTCAAACCGCAATCTGAATCTTGCATTGCGCAGCAATGTGTGAGAATCTTAATATCTTCAAGCTTCATTTCCTTCTGGGGACACTAATCGTGGCAAATTCAGAGGCCTAAACTACATGATGCATGAAAAGAACACTGTAAGGAGTCAATAAATGGCAATTATTAGAACGATACTAATTTCTCCCCAAAAATCACAGAAGGACATGCATGAGAAAAGGAAGAATGCTACATCTCCCATATAATAGAAGTCTCTGCTCAAGTTCTTCACATGACTGACTACACAGTGGGCCATATACAGGTGGGGTAGGGGACATGGACTCCTATCATACCAGACTAGGGAGAACAGTCCGGACAATCTACTCACCATGAGGTAATAAGGGACATTTATCTGCTTTAGGAGCTCAATGTTGTCTGTGGTCACTGAATGAATCCTGGAGCACCAGGCCAGTGAGAAGAGCCAAGGCTCATTGACGATGTACAAGTTGATGGTGATGTTGGCTGCTTTATAATCTCTGGAACAGAAACAGAACCCACGGGGCTTTAGACTTAATCTTACCCTCATCATCTAAAAGGGGAACAGCCACCATTTTTGTGAAAGGCTTAAATCATGCAGCCATTCCTTAAACAACTTAAGGTATGACATGCAGAATGGATGCATTGTACAATGATAAAGGAATGGATTGAATACCTCTATCCACATACCAACAGTGGTGTGTTAGTAAACTGGATGGCCTAAGGGTAAAAATGAAAAGAGGAAGGGAAAGGAAAATGGAAAAGAGAAAGGGAAGGTAAAGGTAAAGGGGAAAATAGGGAAAAGAAAAGGAAAAAGAAAAGGAAAACCCTATATGTAGTATTTGCTAACTTTCATGGTGTAAATACTCCTACCACAGTCAATTTCGGGCTACCACTGCTAAACAGGTTTTCAAAGTTTTTGAGTATTTAATAATTGGCTCTCATAAGAGTATGAACAAGCTCCAGCACATTATTGGGTAGTGGCTATACTTACTTCCACCAAAGAACTTGACAACACACTACTCTATCTGCTTTCCTATGGGTCTTCTTTACTTGAGTATAAGCAGATTAAAGGCAGAGACAGTATCTTATTCATCTTTGTATAGCCAGTACTAGTGTAATACCTGCCTTCTAAAATAGTTATTGAAAAAAATAAATGAATACAAATCTAGTGAATATTTAAATTTCAAATATAAAGAATTTTTACAAATGCTGAGTAAGGGAAATGCAACCAAACTTCCCCCAATGCACTAAATGTCAGTAGATATTTCTGCACTGTTAGAGAGACAGGAAGAAGATAAGTAGAGAAATATTTAGTAATTCAAGTTGTCATTTCCAGGGATTAAATTTCTTAGAAATGACACCCTGTAAGCAACTTCAGAAAATTTTTTTGAAAATTGAGTTGGTATAGCATACTGGTAACAGCTCTGTACAAGCCTGGTTTCACTCCCAGCTGTGTCATATGCTGGTGAGACAAGTTCTTATACTCACTATATAAGTGAAGATAAAAGTAGGAATACTACCTTTGCAGGATGTTTTTAATTAGTTACCCTGTATGTCTCTAAGACAATTCTACAGATCACCTAAAAATAGATAGAAATAAGAAAACAGTGGTAAAAAGCTACTTAAAAAAATTTATTGTATTTTTCCCCATTACCATTTAGTCCCATTATACCCCCTCCCTGACAATCACTACACTGTTGTCCATGAGTCTTTTTTTGTTTTTGCTCAATCTCTCCATATCCTACACTCTCTGCCTTAGCTGTCATCCTGTTCTCTATCTATGAATCTGTCTCTATTTTGCTTGTTAGTTCATTGTGTTCATTAGATTCCATATGAGTGAAATCATATAGTATTTATCTTTCTCTGAATGACTTATTTCACTTAGCATAATGTTCTCCAGGTCCATCTATACTGTTGCAAAGGGTAAAGCTTTTTCTTTTTTACAGCTGAGTAGTATTCCATTGTGTAAATGTCCCATAGTTGTTTTATCCACTCATCTACTAATTAAGATTCCAATGACGTATTTCACAGAACTAGAATAAATATTTCAACAGTTTATATGGAACCACAAAAGGCCCCACATAGCAACAGGGATCCTGCAAAAGAAGAACGAAATTGGAGGAAGCCCATAGTAATCAAAACAGTATGATACTGGCATAAAAACAGACACATAGATCAATGGAAGAAAATAGAGAGCCCAGAAATAAGCCCGTATGTTTACAATCAATTAATGTTCAACAGAGAAAGCAAGAACATAAAGTAGACTAATAAAGATAGTTTATTCAACAAATGGTGTTGGGAAAACTGGACAGATAAGTGCAGAAAAATGAAACTAGACCATCCTCTTACACTACATACAAGAATAAATTCAAAATGAATTAAAGAGTTAAATGTTAGACCGAAAACCATAAAAATCAAAGGAAAACAGGTGACAAAATATGAGACATTGTTCCTAGCAATATTTTATCAGATATATCTCCCCAGGCAAGGGAAACAAACAAACAAACAAACAAACAAAACAAACTGGACTACATCAAACTAAAAAGTTTTTGCACAGCAAAGGAAAACATCAACACAATAAAAAGACAACCCACAGAATGGGAGAACATATTTGCCAATACATCTGATAAGGAGTTAATATCTAAAATTTATAAAGAAGTTACAAAACTTAACACCAAAAAAAGAAAAAAACCCCAGTTAGAAAATGGGCAAAGGACCTAAATAGACACTTCTCCAAAAAGGGCATACAGATGGCTAACAGACAAATGAAAAGATGCTCAACATCACTAATCATCAGAGAAATGCAAATTAAAACCACGATGAGATACCATCTCACACCTGTTAGAATGAATATCATTAATAAATCATCAATAAATAACAAGTGCTGGTGAGGACGTGGAGTAAGGGGAGCCCTTTTAGACTGTTGGTGGGAATGCAGACTGGTACAGTCACTGTGGAAAATAGTACGGAGATACTTCAAAAAATTGAAAATGGAGCTACATTTTGACATAGTGATTCCACTTCTGGGAATGTATCCAAAAGAACTCAAAACATTAATTTGAAAGAACCTCTATGTTCATTGCAGTGTTATTTACAATCCCCAAGATATGGAAGCAGCCCAAATATCTAAAAAGTTACTTTAAAATTTTTTTAAACAATGTATAAAGAACAATCACATTTCTGTATATTAATAATGAACATAAAGAGACTGAAATTTAAAACACAATATCATTAAAAACCACCCCAAAGAAAATTTAAAACAGGTATAAACTTAACAAAGTGTAGGAACTGTAAGTTGAAATATAAAAAACGTTACTGAAAGTCATCAAAATGATTCAAGTAAAGAAAATGGTGGGTGGAGGGTCGAATGACAGAGATGGGGGTGGGTAGGGCAGGGGAGAGTAATGGGGGAAAATGGAGACAACTGTAATTCAATAACAATAAAATTTTTTTAATGATTTAAATAAATGGAGAGACATATATGTTCATAGATTAGAAGACTCAACATTGTGAATATGTCAATTCTCATCAAAATGACTTGCAAGCTTAATGCAATTCCTATCAAAATCACAGCAACAAGTTTTGTATAATTAGGCCAGCTGATTCCAAAATTTATATGGAAAAGCACATCTCCAAAGAAACTAAAACAATTTTGGAAAAGAATAATAAATTGAGAGGGAATCAACTTACTCTATATCAAGGCTTACTATGTAGTTACAGTAACCAAAACAGTATGGTATTAGAAGGCATAGACACATAGATCAATGGGATATAATACCCAGAAAAAATCCCACACAAATATGCCCAAATGAATTTTGACAAAGATACAAAAGCAATTCAATGGCGTAAAGAGGGTTTTTTCCAACGAATTATGCAGGAGCAATTGGACAGACAATTGAAAGTGTAGGGATGGAGCTGGAAAGGAATATAGTTTTATATGTTATTGAAGTAAAGCTGTTATAAATTCAAAATGTTTTAAGTTAAATGTAATTCCCATCATAACCACAAATAGGTATAAAATATATAGAAAAGAAAGTGAGCAAAGGATTTAAACATTTCACTACAAAAAAAATCAATAAACCTCAAAGAAAACAGTAATGCAAAAAAAAAAAAGGAGGACAAACAAGTTGTAAGGCATATAACAAAATAAAATATCAAACGATAAAAACAAACTAACAGATATTTACAGAAATGACTAAAGTAACAAAATGCTAAAAAGTCCCTCCCTATAAGTATTTTAAGTGTAGATAGATTAAACTCTCCAAACGAAAGAGATTGACAGAATGGATAAAAACACTATAACCAACTTTATGCTGTCTATAAGAGACTCACTTTACATTGAAAGACACAGATAGATTCCAAGTAAAAGGATGAAAAAAAATTCCATGCAAAGAGTAACCAAAAACAGTAAGGGGGCTATACTAATATCACACAAAATAGTTTTATACCAAAAAAGGGTACAAGAGACAAAGAAGGATTTTATATAGTAAAAAAATCAATACATCAACAAGATATAGCAATTGTAAACATTTACACACACAACAACAGATCAGCCAAATTTATGAAGGAAAAACGACAGAATTAAAGAAAGAGACAGCTGTACAATAACAGTTGGAGACTTCAATATCCCAGTCTCAATAACTGAAAAAACAAGCAGACAGAAATTAAGGAAACAGAGGATTTAATCAGCACAAGAAACTAACTATACCTCACAGACATATACGGAATATTAAACCCCAAAATAACAACATACGCACTCTTCTGAAGTGCACTTGGGGCATTTTTCAGAATAGACCATATTTTAGATTACAAATTAAATGTCAATAGATGTAAAAAGATAGATATAAAAAATTTCTTCAACTACGACAGAGAAATGAATAACAAAGAAAACTGGAAAAGTCACATATTTGTAAAAATTAAACAGAATTTTTATTATTGTTCAGTTAGTTGTCCCACCTTTTTTCCCCATTGCTCTCCCCTGCCCTGTGTCCCTCGACTCCCACAGTCAATCCCCACCCCCCTCACCATTGTCCATGCCCATGAATCCTCTATTCGTGTTTCTTGGCTTGCTTCTTCCCCTTCTTTCCCCCTTATCGCCTCCCCCATCCCCTCTGGTCACTGTCAGTTTGTTCTTTATTTCCAAGTCTCTGGTTCTATTTTGCTCAGTTGTTTGCTTTTTTAAATTAGTTTTTACTTATAGGTGAGATCATACGGTATTTGTTTTCCACCATCTGGCTTATTTCACTTAGTATAACGCTCTCCAGTTCCATCCATGTTGTATCGAAGGATAAGAGTTCGTTCTTTCTTTCTGCTGCATAGTATTCCACTGTGTAAATGTATCACAGTTTTTTGAACCACTCATTTACTGATGGGCACTTAGGCTGTTCCTAGCACTTGGCTATTGTAAATAACAATGCTGTCAACTTTGGGGTGCATAGGTTCTTTTCAATTGGCACTTCAGGATTCTTAGGGCATAATCCCAGCAGTGAGATCGCTG